GGGGGGATTTACCCTTGGGGACCAAGTGGAAAATAATAAGGCAGCTAGCGGCAGCAAATTGTGGGTGTGGCAAAATTGCTAGCAGTGGGAGGGACTTAAAACTTGAACCTATTCACTGTGTGCTTTGTAACATATGCTACAGTGTTTGTACCCACAAAATATGCTTTAGTTACTGTGCCATATTCAAGAGTCTAAAGCTGGGTACACAAAATCATATTTTTTCATTCAGCCTTGCAGGATGAACAACAAATATGAAAAATGCCTCCATCCACGCTAATAGTGTGGTTAAGTGAATATCCCATTGTACATTGTATTCTGACATCATCACCGGCCGCTGTCAGAATACCCAAACAGTCAGGGGCGGACTGTGCTCTGTCCTTTTAGAAGCCCCTCCCACAAGCTCCACCTGCATAATGATTCTTGTGTCACAGAAATTTTTTCTCCACACTATTTTTCAAATAGTGGGCCAATTAACTAAAAGATGAATTGCCGGGGAACTGGTAGGAGAATTTCAGAATCTAGACCAATATAGGCAATTTGGAAAGTGAGCTAAATGGCAGAATGCATGGCAGACTTCAGTCCAGAACCAAGACACGGCAGACTTCAGTCCAAAACCAAGACACTGCAGACTTCAGTCCAGAACCAAGACACGGCAGACTTCAGTCCAAAACCAAGACACTGCAGACTTCAGTCCAGAACCAAGACACGGCAGACTTCAGTCCAGAACCAAGGCACGGCAGACTTCAGTCCAGAACCAAGGCACGGCAGACTTCAGTCCAGAACCAAGGCACGGCAGACTTCAGTCCAGAACCAAGGCACGGCAGACTTCAGTCCAGAACCAAGGCACGGCAGACTTCAGTCCAGAACCAAGGCACGGCAGACTTCAGTCCAGAACCAAGGCACGGCAGACTTCAGTCCAGAACCAAGGCACGGCAGACTTCAGTCCAGAACCAAGGCACGGCAGACTTCAGTCCAGAACCAAGGCACGGCAGACTTCAGTCCAGAACCAAGGCACGGCAGACTTCAGTCCAGAACCAAGGCACGGCAGACTTCAGTCCAGAACCAAGGCACGGCAGACTTCAGTCCAGAACCAAGGCACGGCAGACTTCAGTCCAGAACCAAGGCACGGCAGACTTCAGTCCAGAACCAAGGCACGGCAGACTTCAGTCCAGAACCAAGGCACGGCAGACTTCAGTCCAGAACCAAGGCACGGCAGACTTCAGTCCAGAACCAAGACACGGCAGACTTCAGACCACAACCAATACACTGCAGACCTCAGACCAGATCTAATGTACGGCAGACTGGGCAGTTAGAATGACCACATACACAGCGACATCTCTGGGATCAGCCATCACACACAGTCTGATACCTGTGTGATGTCACCCGCACACGGTTAATGGGCAGTTCCTTCTATGCCAGCACACGTGCTCACCTGCAGGTGGGTGTCCAGCAGGTGGGTGCAGCTATGTTAAAGCGGCGACAGCAGTGTCTGTTGGACCCGGGTGGCGGGGGACACTGCTGTTTGGCTGCGGCTCGGACGAAAACAGCAAAGAGATGGCGCCTTTCCTTCAGTGGCGACTCGAGGAACAATATATAGGGGGGGCACATAAGATACCACAGTCAAATCTGGGGGGGGGGGCACTAATAATTTTAATTGCATGTCACAACCGCTGGGTGCAGAGAGCTGATTTAATTGCGGATGGGATCTGCACCCCACGGTTGCGTTATGTAGTCCCAACGCTGCCCACAATCCTGAATACGACGCCATCTGCAATTAAATCAGCTCTCAGCGCCCGGTAGGTGCGGAATACAGCAGGGGCTGACTGGCAACTTTTAGCCCGGGGGACAAGTACAACCTAGAGGCCCATGGTGCAGCAACTTGGCCCCCCTCCCCTCTGCCTTTTCTCCCGCCTTCTACCCACCCCTGTCTGCCACTTTTGCCATCCATGTAACGCTAGCGTGAATGGTCGGGTGATGTGAGGACTCCTAGTAAGTCCGTGACTGGCTGGGGGATGGTGCTCTCCTCCCACTGGGCTCCCTACATAGTTCTGGCCTTACTCCGCTCCATGTACGGTACTTAGGCACTCTCGCCCACTGTAGACCGCCGCTGGCTGTCCATACTTCTGGGCTGTGAGCTGTGGGAGGGGCCGGACAGTGTCAAAGTCAGTGTTCTATGTAATTTTTCTCGAACCTATACATTTTCTCGACTGTGTCCCTGTGGGGCCACATCATCTGAATCGGCTGTTTTCATGACCCCCGTTCTTTATGACATACACACCTGGAAGTGGCGTGGTAGAGAAATTTAGGGTTTGAGGAAAATTAAAGTACACTGGTAGTGGAGGGATACCTCATCAGTGCTGTGCACCTGTACGACTGCTGTGACCCTGGTAGCTCTGCCACTAACTTCAAGCTGTAGAGGGACTACAAATCTCAGCACATTATACAGCAATGCAGAATACCAACAGCTATAGATGACTATAAATCTCAGAAATCCATTGTACAGCAATGCAGAATAATACCATTAGCTATAGAGGAAATTGCAATGTAATGTCTGAGCCTGATGAAGGGGACTCTGCCCGTGCTTGTTGTTTGAATGACTACTATCAATAAAATGGATTTGCACTGACATGGAATCTTGGTGCTGGTGACATCTGTGTTGGAGTTCTGTTGTGAGCGGCGCCATCAGCAGTCTTTACGAGCACCCGTTACTTTTGAGATATCCAGTAAGGAGTGTGGCAAGGTATATGGATACTGCTTTGCATAGTACATGTCTGGGGACATGTGGCACACTGGTATCTTATGGGGGCACCGTTTATGTACAGAATGCATATCTGGGGACCTGTGGCACACTGGCAAGTTGTGATTAACTCCGTATGAATTGTGATATAGTATGATTAACTCCAATGGTCTTTAATCACAAAATATATGCATAGGGTATACTTTACAAAAAAATTGCAGTGAGCCGCTACAGTGTTCGGATTTGGCTTGAAGAAATAGTGGCAACCCTACTTGTAGCCTGCTAATTATTAAGGCCTAGCTGCTGTGTCTGTGTCTTGGAAGGACACTCTGTGAGGAAGGGGGGAGATTTGGGCGCCCTTATCCCCCTCCCTTATCTACACCCCAGCAAACCGTCACAACCAGCTCTGCCAAAGGGTTGGTGCATTGGTTTTTGTGCTATATACTCTTACTGAGTTTGAGGTTTAATTTTTCTTAGGTGTCTATGCTGTTGAGGAGTAGAAAATTATGAATAGATTTATTTGCAGCGGTGTAATATTTTTTTCTTTAGGAAAGCCTTCATTGTTTTCAAGTAAAATATAGGTGCTGACATTTGCTTTAACATTAACCGTTTAAGTTTTAACATATCCCTGTTGCTTCACAGAAACATCTTCCTCACCTACTAGCCATCTGACAACAATACAAAGAGGTAACCATTCCTTACTAATGCTGTCATCTTTCTAGATACTCCTAGAAATCCTAGCTTAATCACTAATGTTAACAGCAATGGCTTTTACAAGGTGATGTGTAATTTAGCAATGTATTTGACTCCAGTTTTCTGAGCTTATAAACTTTATAAAAATAAGTGTGTGTTTTTTCCTTTTTCTGGCTCATCCTCATGTCGGCACAGTACGGGTTTAGCTCCTCCCCCTCTGACCCCACAGGACCACCTTTTAACAAGCTTATAAAAGGGAGATCCCCCTCCCCCAGTACCTGTTCAATAACACGCCGAGCGACAGGTCATAACAGGGAAGGGAATGCATGCCGACATGAGGATGAGCCAGGAAAGGAAAATTTGGTAAGTATGATAACAATTTTCCGTATTCCTGGCTCACCTCATGTCGGCACAGTACAGGGTATAACAAGCATAATCCCCAATGGGCAGGAACACACAACCATAATAAGGAAAACACCCTCCGAAACTGAATACTGCAAAAATAGAAAACATTTATTGTGATAAAGCAGATGAAAGGACTGCCGTTCCAAATCTGGCCAGTCTGGCGATTGCCACATCCAACTTGTAGTGTCTAACAAAAGTGTTCTGCGAGCTCCACCTTACCGTCTTGCATATGTCCTCTATCGAGACCCTGGCATATGAAGCCCAGGACGTTGCCACTCCCCTCGTCGAGTGGGCTCGCACTTCCGCCGGAGGAGTAAGACCCTGCTGCACATATGCTGCTTTGATGACAGACTGAATCCACATAGACAAAACTTTAGGAGGTGCGTTAAAACCTCTTTTTGATCCTTTAGGAAAGATGAACAGTCGATCAGATCTACGAAAAACTTCCGTCTTATGAAGATACTCCCTCATGAGTTCGACTAAATCCAGAGCTGGTAATAAATCTGAATTCGAAGATTGGGCCAGACTCTTACAACCTGGGAGAATGATTTCCCAATATGAATGAAATGAAGAAACAACCTTTGGCCTGAACTCTGGTGAAGGCCGTAACACAACTTTATCGTCCAATAACACACAAAACGGCTCTTTACATGAAAGAGCCGCCAATTCGGAGACTTTTGACTGATGTGATGGCAACTAGAAAAAGTAACTTCTGTGTAAGGTACCATAGGGTGCATTGAGACAGAGGATGATATGGTGGAGCCGCTAAGACAGCCAAGACTAAGTCCAGGTAACAGAATGGGAACAGAGCTTTCCTAGGAGGCCGCAATTTCAGGGCCGCTCTCATGAATCTCCACAAGAGACGATCATCTGCCCATTTGATTCCCATGAATGCCGACAAGGCTGAAATTTGTACTCAAGGATTTGTAGGCTAGGCCCGCATCCTGGGCCGACTGTAAAAATCCTAGAACATTAGGCAGTTCTGCCCACAATGGTGAAAAATTATTTTGCTCTCAACTCCAGAAATTTGTTCCAAATCCTGGAATAAGTGGTGTTAGTTATTCCAGGTTATTCCAGTTATTCAAGGTCTCTATCACCTTTGCCGACAATCCCTGACTCCTCCACCTTGAGGATTCAGCAACCATGCTGCTAGATGGAGCCTCTTGGGGTTTGGGTGTTGCCAGTGATCCTGCACCAGTAGATCCCGCCTGTTCGGAAATAACCATGGGGGGGCATTGCCATCCATTGTAAGAGTGGGAACCATGGCCTCCTCGGACAAAACGGTAGGATTAAAATAACCACTCCCTTGTCTTGCCATATCTTCTGGAGCACCCTGAGTTCCAACGGTAACGGTGGAAACAGATAAGCCAGTGGAAAGTCCCATATGATCGAGAACGCATCCTATGTCACTGCCTCCCAACAGCCGTGTCTCGAGACAAAACAGAGCACCTTCGCATTCTGCGCTGTGGCCATCAAGTCGATTAAGTCGATTAATGGGGTACCCCACTGCTGGAACACTGGCCTCAGGTACCTCGTATTCAGCCCCCACTCGTTGATCCTGCTCAAGCGGTCCACTAGTATGTTGTCCACTCCTGGCAGGTAGGTTGCTGTCAAGGCCTGAACATGTTGTTCTGCCCATGAAAAAAATCTTGTTCGAGAGGCACAGTAGAGGGAAACTCCTGGTCCCCCCTTGCCTCACAATGTATGACACAGCCGTTTTGTTGTCCATCATAATTCTGTGTTGCAGTAGAGGTTCAAAGGCTTGCAGAGCCAGAGAGGCCGCTTTCAATTCTAACCAATTTGATTGTGGCGTCACCGGGCCTTTCCATCGACTCTGCACCTGATGGTCCAGACATTGCGCTCCCCATCCCTGGAGGTTGGCATCGGTGGTAATTGTGATCCAGGAACCTAGGCTCAGCGGTGGGTAACGAGACTGCCTCGACTTTCCTAAGACTAGGATGTCGTCCAGGTAATGAAACACTTTGATCCCCTGAAGCCGAAGAAGTGCCACGACCGCTGCCACCATCTTGGAGAAGGTCCGTGGGGCCGTGGAGCAGATGGCAGGGCGCAGAATTGAAAATGCTGCCCCGCCACCGCAAACCGCAGGTACTTCTGCTCCTGCTCCTGGAGGTACGCATCCTCTAAATCGATGGAGGTCATCCACTCTTTGGCTTGGACCACCGCAATTATCGTCTGGACTGACTCCATCCTGAAGGGGTTCACTTGAATAAACATATTCAGCTTCTTCAAATCCAGCACCGGCCTGAAGCCTCCCGAGACCTTCTTGTGGAACCTTGATCTGTCCTCTGATGGTGCCTGTGCCCTCCTGGAGAGTGCTCGTGGACAGAGTCCGAAGAGGAGGAGTGTCTTCTCTCCTTGCGTTTCTTTTTCCGTTTATGCGGAAGACTTTTACTCCTGCAAAAGTTAGACGAAAAATCAAAAGTACCATATGCACAGTCGCACTCTTTTAATAAAGTCACCCAACGCCTCCCTACCTTTCTGTGCATCTGTCACAGGACGAGGGGAGCTCATGGTGGCTAAACAGGCAGCTTGAGAATAGAACGCAGCATAAGAACAAGTCAGTACAGATCCCCCTAAGAACCCATCAGGAAGCATAAACATACCCGGATAGAGAAGGCACAGGATCTTAGAGAGGCAACCGGACCGCTGCAGCAGTAGCTTAAAGGCAGAAACAAACAGCACTGCTAACCGAAAACGAAACTCGTTTAAATTCGCCGCCGAGAAACCGGTGTCCTAAAACCCCACCGCGCATGCGCGAGCAAAGCGTCACCCTGGCAACCTACATGGAGAGGGACGGAGCTAAGCCCCACCCCCCTCACACATGGACGCCGGCGCATGGGCAGAAGCACGAGAAGACGCCGCAGCCAGGAGATCCCCGCGGCTGCTCCACCAGCTCCCCTGTTCCCTGTTGCTCTAGAATGTTTAATCCTACACGAACCTGGCCCAGCACCACAGGCACCCGCTCACAGAGATTTACTACCCTCCGAGGGGTCTACCAATCCGGGAGAGGCGGAACCCGGCTGGGAAGCAGTAGGGAGGAACCAAACGTTCATGCTACATTGTGACCTGGAGCGAGGAAAAAAACAGGTACTGGGGGAGGGGGGATCTCCCTTTTATTAGCTTGTTAAAGGTGGTCCTGTGGGGTCAGAGGGGGAGGAGCTGACCCGTACTGTGCCGACATGAGGTGAGCCAGGAAATATATATATATTACTGTGCAAATGTTTTAGGCATGTGTGAAATATTGCTGTAAAGTAAGAATGCTTTCAGAAATAAAAGTGCTAATAGTTAATTTACTTTCCATTATGTTAATTGATAAACAAACAGAACAGAAATCCAGATCAAATCAATATTTGGTGTCACCACCCTTTGCCTTCAAAATAGCTTCTGGTAACAGATTCTTCTAAGTACACCTGCACACAGTTTTTGAAGGAACTTGGCAGGTAGGTTGTTCCAAACATCTTGGAGAACTGACCACAGATCTTCTGTGGATGTAGTCTGCCTCAAATCCTTCTGTCTCTTCATGTAATCCCAGACAGACTCGATGTTGAGATCAGGGCTCTGTCGGGGCCAAACCATCTCTTACAGGACCCCTTGTTCTTCTTTACTCTTAAGGACATTGGCTGTATGTTTGGGGTCGTTGTTCTGCTGCAATGTAAATTTGGGGCCAATAACACGCCTCCCTAGTGGTATGGCTTAATTGATATGAACCTGCTTGTATTGCTCAACATTCAAATTTTATTTGTGACCTGTCCCCCCAACATAGAGTCCTGTAGGCCATTGTGCACACAATATGAGGTTTGTGGAAACCGCAATTGACGATCTGGAGTACCAGTTTGACAACTTTTCTTTCAGTCTGTTTATTGTGTAAAATAGTAGTCATTTACACTGTAACGTGACTGAAAAGTTTAATCGGGTCCCACTTGTGGTCACCTAGAAGCCACTCCTAGAAGTTCTAAAAAAGATCACAAAAGACCTCCAGCATCTTCTATACAAATATGAAAGACTAATAAAAAAAATATCCCCAAAACCACCTTTGCTACCATTTTGACAACCACAACCAGCTTATATTTAGGGGTTCATAAATTTAAAAATAACAAAACTGATGTTTCTGTAGCGGCCTATTTCTGCAGCAGAAGCCACACCATAAAATATATCAAGATTATGGTACTGAATGGAAACTTAAAAACGCAGAAAGAGAGGATGGATCGGGAATTTAAAGTCATAAAAAAATTCTCTCTGGCAGTAAAGCCTGTTTTCCTCAAGTATTTGATCAAAGGTATTTGGTTAAGGTAAGGTTTAAAAAAAAAATCCTCCTCACGGGACTGACCAGTTTACCTCAACCTCTTATCTCCTAGTCAGTTAGCCAAGTAACACTCTTGAGTTCTGATAACTATTGATTATAGCTTAACCATTTACACTACTTGTACAACAACCATTACTATTTAACTGTGTCAAGAAGAATAGTTAATATTTGTACTGCATTACTTCTGTGGTATTTGGACATTTTAAAAGGACTCCCCTAAGAGGTGAGGAATGTACTTAATAGCCTTTACCACTCAAGTTTGTCA